CAACTTCTTCTGTACCTTCTTTTGCGCCTGCTTCTTCTGCGCCTCTTCCCCCTTGCTCTTCTTCAACGTCTTTCACTTCTTCTTCGTCTCTTCCTCCTACTTTTTCGTCTTCCTTTTCTTCTTTTTTTCCTTCTCCACGTCCTTGTTTTCCCCACACATTCCCGCAATGAATGTAACATTAGATGTGAGTAGGTTATTAGCAATAAAGTATAGGTTCCCAAGGATATGAATTTCAATTCTTAATGGAAAGGATTTTCTTACAAAGTTTGGCTATTCAAGCCTTAACTCTCTTGACGCCTTACCTTTTTTCTTTCGGAAAGAACCTGTGATGACTGAAAACGAAGGAGGCGAAGAAGAACATCAGAAATTATCTTAGCTGGAGTTTCTGTTTCATTTTATTCGCATGCACTGTTTCATTAATAGAGGTATACATACAAGCGAATGCTGATCGAAWAGATATTTGGCTTTGGTAACGTTGCAGCYCACGTCTCCCTGAATAAAATCACATTGTAAAGTGRTTTATTAACAAYATTTTCGKTTAATGTCAGACAGCGTGCAGCTTTGGCTCCAGAGGTGCATGATCAGTAAGTCAAAGAAACTAAGAAAACATTTTCAAAGTTTATAAATTGTAAGTAACAAAAATATATCATGACTTTTTGCATTCAATATGAAACAGTAGCAACATCTTTGATTTTTGCTCTGATGAAGCACCTTCTGTGCGAATGCTTGTCGACCTGATTAATGTAAATACCCTGAGACTAGAATATCTAAATTCAGTGAAGTCATAWATATAGATAGAGTAATATATGGAAAGTAGATTTTAATTAAAATACGTATTTATTAAAATACGTAAACGGACATTGCAGTACTATAAGTAATAAATATGTACGTCTAYAGTAGTCCTTATGTTTTGCTGGTTCACTATGATAATTTGTTAACATACACAGAACAAGAAACATAAGGACATGGAAAAGTTTTCATTTTCTCATGCCTCTACTTGTGCTTATGTTTTCCCCAAATAGAAAATTCACTTTCTTCTAATGTTGTTGTGTGAAGCGGACCTTATTGGCTATCATGATTTGGGTAATGATCAGTGCAAGTGAACCGAATACCGGTCGTTTCGATCCAAAGACGTTTCGATCCAAGTTGTTTCGATCNACAAACCGCTGTCTTCTCTTAAACATTCCTGTACCACTTCCCAGTTTCTGTTTCTTGAAACATACATTACATTTACATTAGTAAATATTAATTTGAAGTATAATTAATGTGCATGGCTACACAAATCAATGTTTTTTGTATTTAGCATTGTCAAGAAATATATTTTTCTTGAGCAGCCACACTTGTAGATAGCAAAACTTGTTCAATCAAGAAAAAAGACTTAGACTTTTAGGAAATATTCTAAGTAAGTAATTTGGATTCCAGTTTCCAGATGATGTCTAGCAAGAATATGATAATCCAGATTTTAGAGATTTTACCAAACTAACTTTGACTTGGCATAGCACTTTATACCTCGTGCTTAGTCCAACCATGAGTAAAAAGTCAAATCAGAATGAATTGCATCCAATGTTCCCACATGCATGTGATATGTGACATCAAGTGAAAATATGTATGACAACTATATGTGAGAAAAGAGATAATTTTTTTACATCTAACATATTTATTTACTAGATATACATTACTAAATATTAATTGCTATTTACAATTGGAGAGTGCTTAGCTATTCAAAGCCCACAAGATATGATATTTACAATTTGAGAGTGCTTGGCAGAAGGTGAAACACTCAAGACGTTTATCATGCTGAATTAATATGCAGGTACTAACTATTTACAATAGGAAAGTGCATAGCTAAAGTAAAACACACAAGATATCTTTTTTTATTTACAAAGTGATGAGAGTTAGCTAGATGTGATAGATATGTCTATACGTGCACATACTATTTTAGATATTATATATTAATACATAATTAATATATATTAATTATGTTTCTTTCACAATATTTCCATATTTTTCCATTTTTTTTCATGCATGTATATTTTTCCTTTTGAAACTGCTATTCTTTTCAATCATCTCAATTTGAAATAAAGTATTTTTGAAAACTGTCACTAGTCATGGTGGGGCTCTTTTTTCTCTGTATTTGTAAAGTAATAATATGTATACCAAGATAACCATATTAACAAACATGTCTTTTCTTAGAGATAATTTATATATTGCAGTGCGGTTCTCAGCCTAGTGGGCAGCCTGAGGAGTAAAAAGCACTGTCGAATTTAGACTAGTTCACCCAGTTTCCAGAAACTAGTGAGATTTTTCCCAAAAATATAATAAAAAGCGACAGTTCAAATAAAATAATACAAATGAAAAGAATTAGAGAGTATTTTACCGTGTAGCTTGCAGTACGATCGTTCTAGCCGCCATTTTGATAATCTTACCACAGGAAACTCACTTTACATGTAATTTACTAGCTGTGTTTGTCTTGTGGGAGGGGACCCATCAAAACTTTTTGCCAAAGAAAGCCAATCTTGAGCCCAGAATCTGTGTGGCTGTCTGACAGCGGACTATCACGAGGTGAGTGAACTAGTTTCTTTTGACATCATCAATGATTCACACAGGAATCCTGACTAGTTTCCGCAATCAAAGCTGAATGCTGATGTTAGCCAATCAGAATCGAGCTTTGATTTGTATAAGGGAGGGGTAGGAGCTTACCAGAAACTAGTCAGAAACCAGTCAAATCTACCTAGTTACTACCCTACCCTGGTATGGTTCTATGTTTTCTTTGCCAAACTTTGTGTCATTCAGTTAGCAAAAGATTTTGAGGGAAATCAGTGTTCGAAATAATTACCTTTGACAATTCTAAGCAAATCGAGAAAAGATCGAGGCCAGAATTGCTACCAACACTGTTTTAATCTGTTATTTTTGTGGTCCATCAATCCACTTGTGAAACCGTTCAAGGAAATTCCCACTACATTTGGATCGCTGTCTGATTCGACTTCATGTGAACATTCTTCGTGCTTGGTATGCATTGAAAATAATTGCAAGATGATTCAAAACAATGAAAACACTTGAACCGAATAAATTACACATTATGCACAGTTAAGAATTGATAATTCAAATCCGAAATACAATTTCTGGAATTCGGTAGCTAGTGGTCGCTAAGGTAATCTACCGCGCATTGTCGACCCTTGTGCATTTTTAAAAATTGGCTGAATCGGCTCAATCAGTTTATTAGAATCACACCATTTCCAGTCAGTTAAATAAAGATTTGGTTTCTTCTTTCAGGCCAATCTTATAAATATTCATGTTTTAATTAATTAGCATATGTCAATAAAACATCTTTCAAGTTGGAAACTAGACTACAAAAATGCTAGATCTGCCCCTGCAAGAGTTTTTTTTTTTGCCCTTTCCATAAAGGATACACACACGATTGTCACACAACCTAGCAAACTTACCAGTTCAAGACCTACAGGTATACCACCATCAGATTCTACAGTTTCAGCAATGTATCTAACCCATCCTCTTACTGGTTCATCACGCAAAAACACCACAACTTTCTGGTCTATACTCARTTTTTCACTATAATTTGGAAAATTTTGGTCTCTTTTATTTGTTCTGAATCCACTTGGTAACATGTCTTTTAAGGTAAATGATCCTTTGCTTGAT